TACACTTTCTAACCAACTACTGAATTCACATGATAATACACTTTACTAACCAACTCTGATCTAATACACTTTACTACCAACTCTGATCTAATACACTTTACTAACCAACTGATCTAATACACTTTACTAAACAACTGATCTAATACACTTTACTAACCAACTGATCTATACACTTTTCTAACCATCTCTGATCTAATACACTTTTCTAACCAACTCTGATCTAATACACTTTACTACCCAACTCTGATCTAATACACTTTACTAACCAACTGATCTAATACACTTTACTAACCAACTGATCTAATACACTTTACTAACCAACTCTGATCTAATACACTTTACTAATTATATCTGATCTAATACACTTTACTAATCAACTGATCTAATACACTTTACTAACCATCTCTGATCTAATACACTTTATTAACAAACTCTGATCTAATACACTTTACTAAACATTTTATTTAATACACTTTACTAAACAACTGATCTAATACACTTTACTAACAAACTCTGATCTAATACACTTTACTAACCATCTCTGATCTAATACACTTTACTAACCATCTCTGATCTAATACACTTTACTAACAAACTCTGATCTAAAACACTTTACTAACCAACTCTGAACAAATGCGCTATACTAAACACCTCTTGCCCATAACCAACTCTTGCAGAATTCCTACCAAAGTGTCTCCCCCTGTCTTTCATGAATCTAAATTTCTCCCCCATGTCTGCCATGAATCAAAATGTCTCCCTCCTGTCTGCCATGAATCAAAATGTCTCCCCCCTGTCTGCCATGAATCAAAATGTCTCCCCCCTGTCTGCCATCAATCATTAATGCACCTAAAGTATAGTTATGCCTTCTGAGTATTGTCAGGATCCTGACTAACTGAGTTTCCTCTCTCCAGCGATGATGACATCATCTTTGAGGACTTTGCGCGGCAGCGGCTGATCGGAGCAAAAGACGATGAGGATGAGGAGGGTACAGACTCTCCCAAGCTGAACCACAGATAGAGGATGAAGATGCTGTGTTGTTCCTGTGTTGTGGTACAGAGGAGCTACTGTAACCGGAGGGGAGAGAGAGAGAGAGAGAGAGAGAGAGAGCGAGAGAGAGAGAGAGAGGCCCTTTAGAGTCCAGGGAGACCCTTTAAACACACTCACAGTGGTGCCGTTGTCCTGTTCTTGTTCACATTCGTCTTCTCCGTACAGCAAAGATGTTAGAGAGAAAAAGTGTAGAGGAAATGCAGCCTAGGCATGGCGTGGTCTGAGGATGGAGGAGAAGGAGGAGGTCTTGTTAAAAGCAGCACAAAGTTGTGATAAATACACTCCAGTAGTAGCATACATTTAATGACTTTGTTATACATGGTATCATTAGGACTGAACAGGCACATTAAATGACTTTTGTTATACATGGTATCATTAGGACTGAACAGGCACATTAAATGACTTTTGTTATACATGGTATCATTAGGATTGAACAGGCACATTAAATGACTTTTGTTATACATGGTATCATTAGGACTGAACAGGCACATTAAATGACTTTTGTTATACATGGTATCATTAGGACTGAACAGGCATATTAAATTACTTTTGTTATACATGGTATCATTAGGACTGAACAGGCATATTAAATGACTTTTGTTATACATGGTATCATTAGGACTGAACAGGCATATTAAATGACTTTTGTTATACATGGTATCATTAGGACTGAACAGGCATATTAAATGACTTTTGTTATACATGGTATCATTAGGTTTGAACAGTCATCTTTGTATTGAAATTATATTTAATGTAACTGTAGAATTACTACAGTTCTGGCCTTCATATGTAAGGAAAACTGGAATTTGCTACAAACAACTACAACTACTGCCTAAACCAATGACTTGATAACAGTAATGCACAGAGCAGGACAGTCCACTGCCTCACCCCAAGAGCAGGACTGCACCTATCATACTACTATGGCTGACCCTGTAAAACAACACATTACACTGTACCTATCTGGTGTATGTGACAATATTTTTTTTTCAATATATATATTTCCTTTTCAAACACAGTTCAAACTTTATGCCCATTTACTATTTGTTTTTTTTTAATGTTGTTCATACAGTACACTTTATATAATAATGTATCACATATATAGTATAGTATGTGCTTCAATTGGAATTGATATTTTCTATAAGAGCCAGATAGCCCATAGCCAGCAGAGAGCTGAAGAGCTGGGAATATCATGCATAATGCACACATGCTCCTTGCTAAATTGTTGCTGTTGAAATACCTGGAGATTAAGGGCTGGATTCAATCCATATCTCGGAAGATCAGCGTTAAAATGGAACGGTCATTTCCGATTGAGACGATATATGCAGCGTTTACCGTGAATCTCAGTCTCCTCGAACGCGGCAACATTGCCTTTCAATTTCTATCGAGATATAACAGATCCGCGATAAGGATTGAATCCAGCCCCACCACCCTCTTTCTAGCATGCTACTGGCAAAGACTGTACTACCCCTATAACAAATGTATGGCGATTTAAAGTTGATCGGGTCTCTCTTGAAATACTATGGCTTGTTAGGCCTAGATTCAATCAAATCAAGCGTTAACGGGTGATAGCCGACACCCGCATAGCTGATGTTTTGGCGGTGACGGACGTGGAGCTGTTTTGAAGCTGTCAAATCAGTGAGGAGCTACTCCTGTGATCATTGTCAGGAAGCCACACCCGTCCAACTCGAGTTAGAAGTTCCGAACGAGAAAGTGTATATTGCTTTATAGAAATAATGATGCTCACATTGAAAATCATTAAATGAAATAATGAAGATTTTTATCAGTCTAATCGAGGTGTAGATTATTATCTCACATTCCAGTGTTTGAACTTGTAAACAAGGCTGCATGGGATTTCTCAATGCGACTCCGTGCAGCCAATAGCAATGTCAGCTTTGGGTATAACGCCAGGAGCCGCTTGTTGATTTGACAGCTCTAATGCGGTTCCGCCTCCGACACGGCCGAAACAACCGCTATGCGGGTGTCGGTTAGCACGGATCTGATAGAATCTAGCCCCAAATCTACAGTTCAGATAGAATGCAATGTAGATTTATTGGACATGTAGGATAGGGGTTAGGGTTAGTAACCCGTAGTTAGGATAGGATAATACTGTAGGGGTTAGGGTTAGTAACCCGTAGTTAGGATAGGATAATACTGTAGGGGTTAGGGTTAGTAACCCGTAGTTAGGATAGGATAATACTGAATGGGTTAGGGTTAGTAACCCGTAGTTAGTTAATGTAATATGCCAACATGTGCCATGCTCAATACATGATGGGTCCAGTCTTTTTCAATTATTAAATAAATAGATTTTAAATCACAAGAAGCTTTTGTTGCCCTCAGAGAAATGTATTGTTTATTTATTGAGGTATCAAAACCACCCTGAAATGTGTATTATTATTATTATTATTATTATTATTATTATTATTTTATCATAAATTGACATACTACATTTTTGTGAGGGTGGGAAGGAAGAAACCTGTATGTTCAACTGTATCTTTAATAAAATAATATTTGTCGCTACCTGGTATACCTCATAGCTCATTTTAATTTTTTTTCGATCTACGATTTCCATGATCTACGATTTCCACAATTTACGATAATAAGATTTCCACGATCTACGATTTCCACAATTTACGATAATAAGATTTCCACGATCTACGATTTCCACAATCTATGATAATAAGATTTCCACGATCTACGATTTCCACAATCTACGATAATATGATTTTCATGATCTACGATAATAAGATTTCCACGATCTACGATAATAAGATTTCCGTGATCTACGATAATAAGATTTCCACGATCTACGACTATAAGATTTCCACGATCTATGATAATACGATTTTCACGATCTACGATAATAAGAGTTCCACGATCTACGATTATATGATTTCCATGATCTACGACAATAAGATTTCCACGATCTATGATAATACGATTTCCACGATCTACGATAATAAGAGTTCCACGATCTACGATAATAAGATTTCCACGATCTACGACAATAAGATTTCCACGATCTATGATAATACGATTTCCACGATCTACGATAATAAGAGTTCCACGATCTACGATAATAAGATTTCCACGACCTATGATAATACGATTTCCACGATCTACGATAATAAGAGTTACACAATCTACGATAATAAGATTTCTACGATCTACGATAATAAGATTTCTACGATCTACGATAATATGATTTCCATGATCTACGATAATAAGATTTCCATGATCTACGATAATAAGATTTCCATGATCTACGATAATAAGATTTCCACGACCTATGATAATACGATTTCCACGATCTACGATAATAAGAGTTACACAATCTACGATAATAAGATTTCTACGATCTACGATAATATGATTTCCATGATCTACGATAATAAGATTTCCAGACATTGATAATAAGATTTCCAGACATTGATAATAATATTTCCAGACATTGATAATAATATTTCCAGACATTGATAATAATATTTCCAGACATTGATAATAATATTTCCAGACAGTACGTTTTTCCTGACCATGTGACCTGACCAGGGAAAACTCTGGGGTCCTAATTACAGGCTATAATGAAGGTTCAGAGTTTTTCCTGGCCAGGTCATGAGGTCAGGAAAATACTCCTGGCGCTAATTACTGTATGCAGTAAGATTAGCTTGCTCAGTCTGTAAGGTAGGTTCAATCCCCTCAGGAACCAATAATCCCCACACTGCTAACAAACTATCGTTGGTGGCCAGTTATGGCCGGCTTCCGTCTGCTCTCATTAGCTTTGGCCTTATTAGAACATCCTGGGAGCTGAGGGACTTTAGAAACACTCTCCACTCATTTATTCTGTTCACTGTACACTCCTGTTTTTAGTTGTTTACGAGTGAGAATAATTGGCTTGTTATCTAACTGCACACATATTATAATGTGGTAAACACATTTGTATCATATAATAATAATAATAATAATAATAACAATAATAACATATATTGTTGTTGTCTTTCAGTTTCTTTAATTAAGGAACAGGTGGAGTAGTATTGGGAGTTGTGACTGTGATCATGGCATAACTGACAAAACACAAGCCAAATGCAAGGGGATAGTTAGTTAATTTTAGTCATATAGGTATAATTGTGTCATACTGTAATATCATGTCAAAGTACTCAGTGTCTTCAGAAAGTATTCACACTCCTTTACTTTTTCCACATTTTATTGTGTTACAAAGTGGGCTTGAAATGAATTTAATTGTGATTTTTTTTTTTGTCAACGATCTACACAAAATACTCTGAAAGTGAAAGAACATTTTAACAACATAAAAATCCATGGAAATCAAACACTAATATATCTTGATTAGATAAAGTATTCAACCGCCGGAGTCAATACATGTTAGAATCACCGTAGGCAGTGAATACAGCTGTAAGTGTTTCTGGGTAAGTCTCTAAGAGCTTTGCAAACCTGGATTGTACAATATTTGCCCATTATCCTCTCCAGCAACTGAGTTAGGAAGGACGCCAGTATCATTGTAGTGACTGGGTGTATTGAGACAACATCCAAAGTGTAAATATGAATTTCACCATGCTCAAAGGGATATTCAGCGTCTTCTTTTTTTATTTCTTAATTGTTTATCTACCAATAGGTGCCCTTCTTTGAGAGGCATTGGAAAACCTCCCAGGTGTTTGTGGTTAAATCTGTGTTTGAAATTCACTGCTCGACTGAGGGACGTTACAGATAATTGTATGTGTGGGGTACAGAGATGAGGTAGTCATTAAAACAATAATGTTAAACACTATTATTGCAGTCAGAATGAGTCCATGCAACTTATTATGTGTCTTGTTAAGCAAATCTTTTCTCCTGAACGTATTTAGGCTTGCCATAACAAAGGGGTTGAATACTTCAAGAGTTTCATTCCAAAACGCTATATATCCATTTTCAGAAATGTTGGTAGTTTTGCTTTTATTGTTTAAAGAAATTATCACTATCTGATCATAGGATGAGGTTGTTCAATAACAGACATGTATTTGTATTAAATCTATCACTTGATGGTTTCATTTCAGAAAGACAAAATAATCATGTTTCTTTGCTAAATGCTATATATCTGCCTCACTCTCAGAGAAATAAGTAGTACTGCTAGGTTTTACACAGTGAAATGTAACAAATAACTACATTTGTAGTAAGGAAATGTACAAATGATACATTTATGACATCAATATTTAAATGTTAAAAAAGTATGATTCAATAGTACAGTAAAACATTTTACATTTCACATTTTAGTCATTTTTAGCAGATGCTCTTATCCAGAGCGACTTACAGTTAGTGCATTCATCTTAAGATAGCTAGGTGGGACAGCCACATATCACAGTCAAATATACAGGATACCATTCCAGCTAAACATTCCAGCTAAACACTGAGTGTATTGAGTGTACAAAACATTAAGAACACCTTCTCTTTCCTTGAAATAGACTGACCAGGTGAAAGATATGATCCCTTATTGACGCTCACCGGTTTGTGTCAAGAACTGCAACGCTGCTGGGTTTTTCACACTCAACAGTTTCCTGTGTGTATCAAGAATGGTCCACTACCCAGAGGACACAACTGAATGGTCCATCATTCAGCCAACTTGATACAACTGTGGGAAGTATTGGAGTCAACGTGGGGTGAAATTCAATATTAGGAAGGTATTCTTAATGTTTTGTACACTCTGTGTATAGTGTTTTAGCAACTAACAAAAAAACAATTTCATACACATCAAAAATATTTTACACACACATGAACGTACCCATAAGCAATTATTTCTGATGAAAAAACACAAATGTGAAAAATTGGTGGATATAGTGTTTTGTAAATATTGACCCAAGATATTTCAGCTTTTCATTTTTCTATGAATTTGTACAAATGTCTAAAAACATATTTCCACTTTTACATAATGGGGTATTGTGTGTAGATCAGTGACACAAAATCTCAATTTAATAAATTTTTAATTCAGGCTGTAACACAACAAAATGTGGAAAAAAATCAAGGGTGTGAATAATTTCTGAAGGCACCGTAAATATCTAACCCTAACTCTAACACTAACTCAAGTAGAGCTTTGAAAATAATCACATTTCTACAGTAGCAACCTGGACAGTCAATACTTTGTTTACTCTTGTGTTGAACATTTTCAAAATGCGGTTTCGTATTTCCTTTGTCCGGACTCCATAGATAATTGGATTGACACTTGCTGGTAGAGCAATATACATCACCCCTAGCAAAGTATTGATATCAGTTGGAATTTGAATATTCAGATTGCGTGACAGAAAAGTAACAGTACCCACCAGATAGAAACACATTATTACAAGAAGGTGGGTGCCACAAGTATGGAAGGCTTTCCATCTATCCTCCCCTGCTGCTGCCCTCAACACTACATTCAGAATCTTCATGTAGGAAAATACAATGACACAAATATCCATTCCCACAAAACAGATAATCACAGCCAATCCCATAGCATGATTCTTGTCAGTGTTACCACATGCTAGGCTAACCAGGGCCATGTGGTCACAGTAGCAGTGGTGGATCACATTGGATCCACAGAAAGACAGAGAACCAGCTAGCGCAACAAGCAGGGACATTATGGAACCACTCCTTATAACAGTGAACAGCAACAGTCTGACTAACGTGGCAGAGTTGATGACGCGAGCGTAGCGTAGAGGGAAGCAGATGGCCACATAGCGGTCCAGAGCCATGGCCAGGAGGATGGTCGACTCTACTGACGAGAGGAAGTGAGTGAAGAACATCTGAGTCAAACAGCTGGCCAAGGAGATGTCGTTCCAGTCAAACAGAAAGCTGAGCAGCATGTTGGGGATAACGACTGTAGCCACCACAATGTCCACCGCCGCCAGGCCACATATTAATATATACATGGGGCTGTGGAGGCTCTCCATAATTCTAATCACGTGGATCAACAAAGAATTTCCCACCAAGACCAAAATGTAGATAATGAAAAATGGTAAGAAAAGTTGATGTCTGTACTCGTAGATCTCTGGAAATCCCACAAAGATGAACTCACTGTGTGAAAAATTTATTCCCTGGAATTCTTTAATCATTACACTTTGGGTATTGCCAATTAATTGAGATGAAAAGAAAAAAACTATGTAAAACTTCAACGTTTTCATTGACACAATATTTTCAATACTCTGATATGTATGAATGGTTTACAAATGCCGTAATAAACCCACTTGCTGCTGTTCTGTTTTCTTCTGCTGTTTGGTCGTTGGTCTTTATACCCCAAACCAGACATCCCATGAGACAACATACACAACCTCGACTTCTTATATTGAGCGTGTATATATATTGTATCCAGGCTCTGCTGTTGCCGGCCGCAACCGGGAGACCAATGGGGCGGCGCACAATTGGCCCAGCGTCGTCCAGGGTAGGGGAGGGAATGGCCGGCAGGGAGGTAGCTTAGTTGGTAGAGCATGGCGTTTGCAACGCCAGGGTTGTGGGTTCGATTCCCATGGGGGGCCAGTATGAAAATAATAATGTATGCACTAACTGTAAGTCGCTCTGGATAAGAGCGTCTGCTAAATGACGTAAATGTAAATGTAAATGTATTACTGCATGGTTTTGATTATTACCTGTTATTATTGTACCTTAACCAGCTCCTCTCTCTGACTCCACCCACCACTAAGTAGTGTTCTTTATCATGGTTCTTTGAGCCGGATGATGTAACCTGTCTAGGGTTGCAAAGGGATTACTAGAAACTTTCTAGGTTTACCAGTAAACTACCAGAATTTGGGTAACTTTCAAGGTTAATTTGTAATTTAATAAGATGACATGTAGTGGTCTTTTTTTGGGTACGTCAGATTATCACAGGTGTCTAATGATCTCTGGCCGTCTGCGTAGGCCGTATCACATGGAAAATATATGAACAAATTAAATAAGATGATTTAAAAATAGAATGACAAAGCTGTAAAACATTATCCTAAATAAAAACCATCAACTTAGTGAATACCATTGGTGTTTAATATGAGGGTTTTTGCATGAAATATCCTTTATATTTTTGTACATACTTTTATTTATTTTACTATGTCAATATGTATTTGTTGTCAATGTTTTGTCGTCAAACTGGTGGAAGTTATGAAAAAAGTCAATAGTTGGAAGCCCAATTCCCCATTCAACCACTGGCGAAATCCCCTCACAATGATCTCAAACTGTGTTTCTAATACACAATTAAATAAAACACAGATGACCCCTTACTAATCAGGAAACTCTTGGGTATGTTGTGGTGGACTGTCAATTGCTTCACAGGAACCTGGTAAAATTATGTTTGTAGTGTAGTGAATGGCTATGAATTCAAAGAAAGCTATATCCACTTTTGGAGCTAACTAATGCTCTCAAATCGTATCCTGATGTCGACAGCAGATGGGAGTTGTATTCATAACATTGCTAACTTAGCTAGCTAACATACATTTAGAGAAAACAAGTTATATTAAGTGGCTGGCTAGCTAGCTAGCGTTAGCAACGTTTGGTGGTCAATGAGACAGAGTTAGCTAACCAGCTAACACGCTCTGCATTTCAGGAATCACTGTAGAAATTACTCCTGGTGCACGGTTAAATTATTTAACATTTAAAAAAAAGAAAACTCTGTTTTTTGCCATAGCCCTGACTGGCTTTCATGCGATTTAAACGTGAGCTTGTCTCCCAAAATTCTGGGGTGGGGCTTAGTGAAGGGTTAATTGAAGATATTGCCATTGTTGATTAGATGCTTTTTTAAATTATTAATCAGGCTATTTTCTCTTGAACCATATGATCTATCTACTACAAACTAATGGACAATATGGACACAGCTATGAAAAACGAATACTATATATGAATCTCCAAAATGACTGAAGATTCCGGTAACTTTGGTAAATTACTGGTATCTTTGCAACCCTAAACCTGTCTGACCAGTTTGGGTCAGGAGACACAAAGGAGACCATCCATAACCCTGACCCAAACCCTGACCCAAACCCAACATGAGAGAGTAGGGAGACCATCCCTAACCCTGACCCTAACCCAACATGATGAGAGTAGGGAGACCATCCCTAACCCTGACCCTAACCCAACATGATGAGAGTAGGGAGACCATCCATAACCCTGACCCTAACCCTGACCCAAACCCAACATGAGAGAGTAGGGAGACCATCCCTAACCCTGACCCAAACCCAACATGATGAGAGTAGGGAGACCATCCCTAACCCTGACCCAAACCCAACATGATGAGAGTAGGGAGACCATCCCTAACCCTGACCCAAACCCAACATGATGAGAGTAGGGAGACCATCCCTAACCCTGACCCTAACCCAACATGAGAGAGTAGGGAGACCATCCCTAACCCTGACCCAAACCCAACATGAGAGAGTAGGGAGACCATCCCTAACCCTGACCCAAACCCAACATGAGAGAGTAGGGAGACCATCCCTAACCCAACATGATGAGAGTAGGGAGACCATCCATAACTCTGACCCTAACCCAACATGAGAGAGTAGGGAGACCATCCCTAACCCTGACCCTAACCCAACATGAGAGAGTAGGGAGACCATCCCTAACCCTGACCCTAACCCAACATGATGAGAGTAGGGAGACCATCCATAACTCTGACCCTAACCCAACATGAGAGAGTAGGGAGACCATCCCTAACCCAACATGATGAGAGTAGGGAGACCATCCCTAACCCAACATGATGAGAGAGTAGGGAGACCATCCCTAACCCTGACCCTAACCCAACATGATGAGAGTAGGGAGACCATCCCTAACCCTGACCCTAACCCAACATGATGAGAGTAGGGAGACCATCCCTAACCCTGACCCTAACCCAACATGATGAGAGTAGGGAGACCATCCCTAACCCAACATGATGAGAGTAGGGAGACCATCCCTAACCCTGACCCTAACCCAACATGATGAGAGAGTAGGGAGACCATCCCTAACCCTGACCCTAACCCAACATGATGAGAGAGTAGGGAGACCATCCCTAACCCTGACCCTAACCCAACATGATGAGAGTAGGGAGACCATCCCTAACCCTGACCCTAACCCAACATGATGAGAGAGTAGGGAGATCATCCCTAACCCTGACCCTAACCCAACATGATGAGAGTAGGGAGACCATCCCTAACCCTGACCCTAACCCAACATGATGAGAGTAGGGAGACCATCCCTAACCCTGACCCAAACCCAACATGAGAGAGTAGGGAGACCATCCCTAACCCTGACCCAAACCCAACATGAGAGAGTAGGGAGACCATCCCTAACCCTGACCCTAACCCAACATGATGAGAGTAGGGAGACCATCCCTAACCCTGACCCAAACCCAACATGAGAGAGTAGGGAGACCATCCCTAACCCTGACCCTAACCCAACATGATGAGAGTAGGGAGACCATCCCTAACCCAACGTGATGAGAGAGTAGGGAGACCATCCCTAACCCAACGTGATGTTTACATGGTCATTGTTTAATTGGCGCTGTAATGAACATCAGAGGTGTGTTGGTGTGCTACTGCTGCAATAACAGTAGTTATTTACACACTAAATTACCCAGGAGGCATCAGGCGGGTCGGACTGGACACACAGAGGATGGTGACATCACCAAGGGGCCAATTAGTCAATGAGACGGTCTGACTGTGAGTCCAATTAGCCAATGAAATGGGCCGACTGGGAGTCCAATTAGCCAATGAAATGGGCCGACTGGGAGTCCAATTAGCCAATGAAATGGGCCGACTGGGAGTCAGTGAAGGATTACTCTCTAACTATGACCACTAATTATCAACAACAGCCTTACTGTCCTGTGTCTTTGTCCACAGATCTGCACATATGAAGGAGTATTATGCTGATTTAATTTTAGAATAACTTTATTTTTCCTAAAGGAACTTTAGTCTAGTTGGCCGCAGCTGTATTTTTGAAAGCAGACTAAAGGGAAAAAATGTGTTATGATTTTTGTTGGTTGTATTTTGTTGGTATCAGATGTTATTCAGGTATATGTCAAACCGTTTCATGATGTAATAGGTTTACATTATGTGGACACAATCTTTGTGTATACAGTGAGTGCGTAGTGTACAGTGTATCTTTCGAAAATCAACACTTGTTGCACTTGTTTTCCACTCTTGTAATCTCTACACACGTTTTCTGCAATGCCTGCAACTATGGAGCAAATCGTTTTGAGGTGACAAGCAGTTATTTGCTTTGCCTTAAAATAAATAGAGGCATAGGACCTAAAATTAACTTTTTTGGTCCACCAGCCACTGATTTAAACATCTACCAGTCACTCAGATGTTACCATTCCCCCCCAAAAAATTGCGCTGAAATTACACCAACGAAACATAAAAACGGATGAGTCTGCTTTGTAATGTTTCTAAAACAATAAATGTATTACTAGTAAGAAGTAATTTAGTATGTTGTTTAATTTCATTTAATTTTTTGTGACCTGTCTTTTAACCAACATATCACAGCTATCACAAATGTTCACTTTTAAGGACGGGAGGAAACGCGAGTCTTTGAAACTCAAACATTGAAAAACAACCTAGCTTGTGAACAAAACAATGTAAATAGCCAAGAAACACAAGGACAAAGTCTCACTTCAGTAGACTTTAGTTTAAAATAAATTAGACCAACTTTTATGCCTGTGCGCAGCGCTTCAAAAAATGATTGTTTCACTCAGCTCTTCATGTGCGCACAGCCCCCAGCCAGGAGTATTGCAGCGCGAGTTGGGATATGATTTTGTGCGATTCATTTACCAGCTATGAAACAAAACGGCAGAAATACTTTGAAAACAGCTACTGCAGCATTTATTCTTGTGGTCAGAGTGTCTGCCCTGATATTGGAAAGTTGGGAGTTCGATCCCCGGCCGAGTCATACCCAAAACTGTAAAAATGATACAATCTGTCTCTGCTTGGCACTCAGCATTAAGGAGATCGACTGGGGGTAAGGCCCTGCGGCCCTAGCTTCCTGTCCAGAGGGTGTACTTGAACATCAAGCTGCCTCACGCTACAGAAACAGGAGATAGGCTCCTGCTCCTATGAGCCGTTCCGGCTAGCACAGGCAAAGGCTCATGCAAGGCTACTTGCATCACATCTAAACATCAGACTCAACTGATCCCACATAAACATGACAACAAGGTTAGAAACAGACATAAAACAATATTTCCAAGTACACATGGTTTATTGTATTCAGTATAACACAAGTCCATTAGCACAAGTCCATTTTATTACATGTAAAATATTTAAGCAAGTGAACTCTAATCTCTTTATTTCTATAACCAGATATTACAGGATTAAAACAGCCAGGAACTAGAATATACATCAGACTAGTAAACACGCGTACATCAGGAGGGATAGTGTTCACCCTATAGCCAACGAATGCAGTCATAGACATTTACATTACATTTACATTTACGTAATTTAACAAACGCTCTTATCCAGAGCGACTTACAAATTGGTGCATTCACCTTATGATAGCCAGTGGCACAACCACTTTACAATTTTTTTATTATTACTTTTTATATTTGGTAGGGGGCGGGGGGTGTAGAAGGATTACTTTTATACTATTCCAGGTATTCCTTAAAGAGGTGGGGTTTCAAGTGTCTCCGGAAGGTGGTCAGTGACTCCGCTATCCTGGCGTCGTGAGGGAGCTTGTTCCACCATTGGGGTGCCAGAGCAGCGAACAGTTTTGACTGGGCTGCATAGCACTTAAATTAGCAACACATATAACCATGACATGAGAACTGCAGGTATCAATGGCCTTCTGCCGTGAATCTCCTGATGGTGATTTCAATATAGCCATAAAGATAACCACATAGGAATACACTATGAAAATACAGTAAGTAGTTGGTATGCAGAAGGTCACTATACCTGCCATGTTACCCACTAAGCTAAGAGCGTTGGGCCAGTAACCGAAAGGTCGCTGGTTCTAATCCCCGAGCCGACTAGGTGAAAAATCTGTCGATGTGCCCTTGAGCAAGGCACTTAACCCTAATTGCTCCTGTAAATCGCTCTGGATAATAGCGTCTGCTAAATGACACAAAAAAAAAAAACATGTTGTTTCTGGAAACGTTGCCACAAGCTAAGCTAACCACTGACGTTCTGCTCACAGAAGCAGTGGTACATCATATTGGACTTGCACAATGTAAGCGGTGTTACCAGACCGACCATCACAGTAGTGTTTCGAATCATGAGCACAGCGTTGAAAATAAGAGAATGGGCCATGTTGATGTAGTCGTTGTATCTTAGAGGAAGACAGATTGCAACATAGCGACCTATAGCCATCCCCAGTAAGATAGTGGATTGAAAACAGGCACAGTAATGAATGCAAAACATCTGAATAAGACGTTCCTCTCTGGAAATCAAGTTAATGTCAGATAGGAAACTAATCAGCATCCTGGGTACAGACATCACAGGCACAGCAATACCCAGAGCAGATATGGCCCCTGTAAAGTCATACATAGGAGCGTAGCATAGCAACGTGTGTTGTTTGGTGATCACTAGAATGAGGGGATGAAGAGCAAAGGGGGGGGGGGGGCGATACTGTAGAAGACTGCTGAATCCATTCAGGTAGAGGGGGCGGGGGCAATACTGTAGAAGACTGCTGAATCCATTCAGGTAGAGGGGCGGGGGCAATACTGTAGAAGACTGCTGAATCCATTCAGGTAGAGGGGGGGGCGGGGCGATACTGTAGAAGACTGCTGAATCCATTCAGGTAGAGGGGCGGGGGCAATACTGTAGAAGACTGCTGAATCCATTCAGGTAGAGAGGGGGGGCGGGGCGATACTGTAGAAGACTGCTGAATCCATTCGGGGGGGGGGGGGGGGGATACTGTAGAAGACTGCTGAATCCATTCAGGTAGAGAGGGGGGGGCGGGGCGATACTGCAGAAGACTGCTGAATCCATTCAGGTAGAGGGTTTAATAATAATAATAATATGCCATTTAGCAGACGCTTTTATCCAAAGCGACTTACAGTCATGCGTGCATACTTTATTTTTTTGTATGGGTGGTCCCGGGGATCGAACCCACTACCTTGGCGTTACAAGCGCCGTGCTCTACCAGCTGAGCTACAGAGGGTTAGGTGAGGGATGTTGCTCGGTGAGCGGTTCCATGCAAACTCCAGAACCACAAGTCACTACTAATGGATAACCATTAAGAAAACATTTTCACTAGAATGACAGTTTGTTGCAAGAAGAAGTTATTCTGTACTTTTATTACATCAGCTCGTATAACTCAACAACACAGTGACGCAATGCAGATCTACAACAACAGAATTCATTGGAAAAGGGGAAATATCTGGTCATAAAAGACTTACCCACAAGAACAGGCAGTGATCAAATAAATGTTAATATATGACGCAAAGTACCAGCATCAGATGCCAGGGTTAGGGGTAGGGGTAGGAGGCTCTGAATACCAGACAGGGTTAGGGGTAGGAGGCTCTGAATACCAGACAGGGTTAGGGGTAGGAGGCTCTGAATACCAGACAGGGTTAGGGGTAGGCGGCTCTGAATACCAGACAGGATTAGGGGTAGGAGGCTCTGAATACCAGACAGGGTTAGGGGTAGGAGGCTCTGAATACCAGACAGGGTTAGGGGTAGAGGTAGGAGGCTCTGAATACCAGACAGGGTTAGGGGTAGGAGGCTCTGAATACCAGACAGGGTTAGGGGTAGGAGGCTCTGAATACCAGACAGGGTTAGGGGTAGGAGGCTCTGAATACCAGACAGGGTTAGGGGTAGGGGGCTCTGAATACCAGACAGGGTTAGGGGTAGGAGGCTCTGAATACCAGACAGGGTTAGAGGTAGGGGGCTCTGAATACCAGACAGGGTTAGGGTTAGGGGTAGGAGGCTCTGAATACCAGACAGGGTTAGGAGGCTCTGAATACCAGACAGGGTTAGGGGTAGGAGGCTCTGAATACCAGATAGGGTTAGGGGTAGGAGGCTCTGAATACCAGACAGGGTTAGGGGGCTCTGAATACCAGACAGGGTTAGGGTTAGGGGTAGGAGGCTCTGAATACCAGACAGGGTTAGGAGGCTCTGAATACCAGACAGGGTTAGGGTTAGGAGGCTCTGAATACCAGACAGGGTTAGGGGTAGGAGGCTCTGAATACCATACAGGGTTAGGGGTAGGAGGCTCTGAATACCAGACAGGGTTAGGGTAGGAGGCTCTGATACCAGACAGGGGTTTAGGAGGCTCTGAATACCAGACAGGGTTAGGGTTAGGAAGCTCTGAATACCAGACAGGGTTAGGGGTAGGAGGCTCTGAAATACCAGACAGGGTAGGGGTAGGAGGCTCTGAATACCAGACAGGGTTAGGGGTAGGAGGCTCTGAATACCATACAGGGTTAGGGGGCTCTGAATACCAAACAGGTTAGGGGGTAGGAGGCTCTGAATACCAAGACAGGGGTTAGGGGTAGGAGGCTCTGATCCCAGACAGGGTTAGGGGTAGAGGCTCTGAATACCAGACAGGGTTAGGGGTAGGAGGCTCTGAATACCAGACAGGGTTAGGGGGCTCTGAATACCAGACAGGGTTAGGGTTAGGGGGCTCTGAATACCAGACAGGGTTTAGGTTAGGAGGGCTCTGATACCAGACAGGGTTAGGGGTAGGGGGCTCTGAATACCAGACAGGGTTAGGGGTAGGAGGCTCTGAATACCAGACAGGGTTAGGGGTAGAGGTAGGAGGCTCTGAATACCAGACAGGGTTAGGGGTAGGAGGCTCTGAATACCAGACAGGGTTAGGGGGCTCTGAATACCAGACAGGGTTAGAGGTAGGAGGCTCTGAATACCAGACAGGGTTAGGGGTAGGAGGCTCTGAATACCAGACAGGGTTAGGGGTAGGAGGCTCTGAATACCAGACAGGGTTAGGGGTAGGAGGCTCTGAATACCAGACAGGGTTAGGGGTAGGAGGCTCTGAATACCAGACAGGGTTAGGGGTAGGAGGCTCTGAATACCAGACAGGATTAGGGGTAGGAGGCTCTGAATACCAGACAGGGTTAGGGGGCTCTGAATACCAGACAGGGTTAGGGGGCTCTGAATACCAGACAGGGTTAGGGGGCTCTGAATACCAGACAGGGTTAGAGGTAGGAGGCTCTGAATACCAGACAGGGTTAGGGGTAGGAGGCTCTGAATACCAGACAGGGTTAGGGGTAGGAGGCTCTGAATACCAGACAGGGTTACGGGTAGGAGGCTCTGAATAACAGACAGGGTTAGAGGTAGGAGGCTCTGAATACCAGACAGGGTTAGGGGTAGGAGGCTCTGAATACCAGACAGGGTTAGGGGTAGGAGGCTCTGAATACCAGACAGGGTTAGGGGTAGGAGGCTCTGAATACCAGACAGGGTTAGGGGTAGGAGGCTCTGAATACCAGACAGGGTTAGGGGTAGGGGTAGGAGGCTCTGAATACCAGACAGGGTTAGGGGTAGGGGTAGGAGGCTCTGAATACCAGACAGGGTTAGGGGTAGGGTAGGAGGGCTCTGAATACCATACAGGGTTAGGTGGAGGCTCTGATACCAGACAGGGTTAGGGTTAGGGTAGGAGGCTCTGAATACCAGACAGGTAGGTTAGGGGTAGGAGGCTCTGAATACCAGACAGGGGTTAGGGGTAGGAGCTCTGAATACCAGACAGGGTTAGGGGTAGGAGGCTCTGATACCAGACAGGGGTTAGGAAGGGCTCTGAATACCAGACGGTTAGGGGTAGGAGGCTCTGAATACCAGACAGGGTTAGGAGGCTCTGAATACCAGACAGGGTTAGGGGTAGGAGGCCTGAATACCAGACAGGGTTAGAGTAGGAGGCTCTGAATACCAGACAGGGTTAGGGGTAGGAGGCTCTGAATACCAGACAGGGTTAGGGGTAGGAGGCTCTGAATACCAACAGGGTTAGGGGTAGGAGGCTCTGAATACCAGACAGGGTTAGGGGTAGGAGGCTCTGAATACCAACCGGGTTAGGGGTAGGGGTAGAGGCTCTGAATACCAGACAGGGTTAGGGTAGAGGCTCTGAATACCAGACAGGGTTAGGTTAGGACGCTCTGAATACCAGACAGGGTTAGGGTTAGGGTAGGAGGCTCTGATACCAGACAGGTTAGGGGTAGGAGGCTCTGAATACCAGACAGGGTTAGGGGTAGGAGGCTCTGAATACCAGACAGGGTTAGGGGTAGGAGGCTCTGAATACCAGACAGGGTTAGGAGGCTCTGAATACCAGACAGGGTTAGGGTTAGGAGGCTCTGAATACCAGACAGGGTTAGGGGTAGGAGGCTCTGAATACCAGACAGGGTTAGGGGTAGGAGGCTCTGAATACCAGACAGGGTTAGGGTAGGAGGCTCTGAATACCAGACAGGTTAGGGGGCTCTGAATACCAGACAGGGTTAGGGGTAGGAGGCTCTGAATACCAGACAGGGTTAGGGGTAGAGGCTCTGAATACCAGACAGGTGTTAGGGGTAGGAGGCTCTGAATACCAGACAGGGTTAGGGGGCTCTGAATACCAGACAGGGTTAGGGTTAGGGGGCTCTGAATACCAGACAGGGTTAGGGTTAGGGGGCTCTGAATACCAGACAGGGTTAGGGTTAGGAGGCTCTGAATACCAGACAGGGTTAGGGGTAGGGGGCTCTGAATACCAGACAGGGTTAGGGGTAGGAGGCTCTGAATACCAGACAGGGTTAGGGGTAGAGGTAGGAGGCTCTGAATACCAGACAGGGTTAGGGGTAGGAGCTCTGAATACCAGACAGGTTAGGGGGCTCTGAATACCAGACAGGGTTAGAGGTAGGAGGCTCTGAATACCAGACAGGGTTAGGGGTAGGAGGCTCTGAATACCAGACAGGGTTAGGGGTAGGAGGCTCTGAATACCAGACAGGGTTAGGGGTAGGAGGCTCTGATACCAGACAGGGTTAGGGGTAGGAGGCTCTGAATACCAGACAGGGTTAGGGGGCTCTGAATACCAGACAGGGTTAGGGGGCTCTGAATACCAGACAGGGTTAGAGGTAGGAGGCTCTGAATACCAGACAGGGTTAGGGGTAGGAGGCTCTGAATACCAGACAGGTTAGGGTAGGGGGCTCTGAATACCAGACAGGTTTTGGGTAGGAGGCTCTGAATACCAGCAGGGTTGGGGGTAGGAGCTCTGAATACCAACAGGGTTAGGGGTGGAGGCTCTGAATACCAGACAGGGTTAGGGGTAGGGGTAGGAGGCTCTGAATACCAGACAGGGTTAGGAGGCTCTGAATACCAGACAGGGTTAGGGGTAGGAGGCTCTGAATACCAGACAGGGTTAGGGGTAGGAGGCTCTGAATACCAGACAGGGTTAGGGGTAGGAGGCTCTGAATACCAGACAGGGTTAGGGGGCTCTGAATACCAGACAGGGTTAGGGGGCTCTGAATACCAGACAGGGTTAGGGGGCTCTGAATACCAGACAGGGTTACATTTAAATTTTTAGTCATTTAGCAGACGCTCTTATCCAGAGCGACTTATAGTTTATTTTTCCATACTGGCCCCCCTTGGGAATCGAACCCACAACCCTGGCGTTGCAACGCCATGCTCTACAACTGAGCTACATCCCTGCCGGCCATTCCCTCCCCTACCCTGGACGACGCTGGGCCAATTGTGGCGCCGCCCCATGGGTCTCCCGGTCACGGCCGGCTATGACAGAGCCTGGATTCGAACCAGGATCTCTAGTGGCACAGCTAGCACTGCGATGCAGTGCCTTAGACCACTCGCCAACTCGGGAAGAGGTGTAGGGGTAGGAGGCATCTGA